GTGGCCTTACTATGCTCTCCCAATACCTTTCTTAAACAGTCTTTGCTCTTGATTGAAACAGATTTCACTCTCTCTACCTTGTAATCTACATTGTGCATTTATACCTGCTTGATATACATTACTCCTCTCAAATTCTTTGACGTATGTCTTTGGAATATGTTTTCCCCATGCATATCTTCATCCCCAGCACGAGTTGCATTCCATTTGCAGAACACCTGCATATTTATCTCTGGCATGAAACACTGACATTCTTGATGATGACTGTGGTAAGCACAATATAATGTGTCCTCAAGGATATCTACATCGTAATCCACAGAACCTCTTACCTCACATGGCAAAAGAGACTTTATAGATGTGATTAAATTAAAGATCTTGAAAAGGAGAGATTACCCTAGATAACGTGTGGGTCTCATGTATTCCCCTGGTTCCTTAAATATGGAAAGCTTTTCCAACCTGTGGTCAGAGAAGGCTGTGCTCTGCCTCCCCCTTGCCTCGTTGCTTTGGTTTTGATTTCCTACAGCTCTGGTATCTTCCAAAATCATAACATTTAACTGATATCACCAAATCTTTTGACTTTAAATTAAATAAGCAGACTGAATTCTTCTGAAAGTACCATTAATATTCACACAAGTTAACAACCAGTGGCTTTAATAAACCCCATAAGATAGTCCCATGTGTCTTATACACATCCTCCAGGAAGACAACATATCTCCTCCCCAGCCACATCAGTTCTACAAGCGGCTATTTCCACTCTCCCAAACTGAAAAGTCACAAATATCCTTTATGTCCAGTTTCTTTGGTGCTGGTAACAACTATTTACTGACTTTCCAATACATGTTAACCCTTCCTATTTTATATAAAGTATGGAATGCTGCTTCCTATTTAGAAAGTTCAGTTTTATTCTCTGGAAACTGGCTATTGCCTCTTCTCTGATTTCAAAAGGGCATTTAAAACTTTTTCTTTTCTCTTTCTTTCCAATGTCTCATTCTTCTATTGGGCAACCTCAACACTAATTTTGATTCTGCCAGGGATCCTTGAAATATTATTTCTGTTTTCTTTCCTATTTGTTCTGTGCTATCTAAAGACCATTCATTCTAGTGGTTTAGAAGTGTCTCACCTTTTAATTCAGAGACTTGTCTACATTTACACAGTACATAATTGGTGGCTTCTCAAGCAGAAAGTTTGCTGATGAGCCTGGAGTTTTTAAAATTTCCCCAGCTGAAATCCCATAACTGCTCTGGGGTCAGCTTTGCTTCACTGTCTTGAATCAGTCCTGTCTCTAACCAAGGGGCTTTTCAGAAGCCCTCAGGTCCACAGGGTGGTTCCTCAATAGCGGCCGAACTTGCTGCAAGTTCTGCACTAACATCACACAAAGGCTTTAGAACATGGACTCTTGCCTCGTTCTGTGGCATGTCAACATGTGCTTGGAAGTAGTAATAGTAGCTGAGTGCTTGCTATGTACTATGAAGTCCACATTCATTATTTTATTTGAATCTTCACAATTACTCTATGTGTTAGGTCATTTTATTACCCCATTTTAGATAAAACACCAGTTACGAAATCCCTTTTTCAAATCTTCTGTTCCCAAACCGTGAGGTCCTTTTGGGCCACACTTCCACATGGCTCCTTTTGACAATCCTTCTGGGAGGACTGGAACCTTTGGCCTGGATCCCTTGGATGTTTCCTGGTATCTCCTACTGCCTCCCTGGCAGTGCCTCCCTAAATGCCTGCTTACTCTCAGCTCATCACTGCATCACCACTGTCAGCCCTACTCTACCACTGGTGTTCTGCTTGGCATTTTAGTGTTGCCAGGTTAATAGCTCTGCTACAAATACTGTGGCCAATCCAAGGATGGGTTCAACTCAGGGTAAGCAGAGTCGGGTGGGCAGTGAGAGAGGGGAAAGGGAGACGGGGATGCACTCGAGGGGCATTTTTGAGTACATTCATGTGTGTGAGGACAGGAATGAAAAAATATTCGTCAACCTCCCAGCACCAACTAATCAGAATGTACATCAAGTGTAATCGTGGAGCAGGTGCTAGTGGCATGCTACTGTGACATGCGTTACTCCATTATTGCTGATCCTTGGCGACAGCCTAAGAGATGCCAGTGGAAGGCACTTCAGGATCTTGGTGAAGTAGCCATTGACTAACTAATGGAAGAATTTCTATATTTTAACATAGAATACCAGCCCTATGCGGGTGGGTCTAAGAGAAGGAATATTTCAGAGTCAGAAAAGACTCCTATGTTCTCCAAGGTGTGTTTGGATGATGTTAGATTTTTATATCAAATCTAATTTCAACCCTCCCCCCATTCTTTTCTTTACTTAGTAGCTAGAACAATCTTTTTAAAAACAAATCTGTTCCTTTCATTTCTCTGCTTAAAACCATATGATGGATCTCATATCTTCTCCATATGATGATTCCCATTTTCCTCCCTGACAACATAAAACATCTTAGCTTGGAATTCATGAAACCACATAACCTAGTCCCTGGATGCTGTTTAACCTCTTTCCTTACTCATAACCCACGTGCATGCTCACACACACACACGCACAGCGCGCGCACACGCACACACACACACACTTCTGGAACACAGTGTGTTAACTCAATCATCTTTACCCGAGACTCCTACCCTGAAAAGCTCCAATGATCCTTCAATACTTAACTACATTCACTTCTCTGGGAAGCCTGACTCCCCATGTTGGACTTCACTAATAAATAACATGTACATTCTTCTTACTGAGTTCTGATTACCTTCTATCATAATCGTTGGATCTCTCACTCCGGACATGAACTCCACATCCACATGTTCACAGGACCTGTCTCTTCTCAGCCTTCTGTGCCCTACTTCAGCACAGTGCCTAAGTCATGGTGGGTATTCAATAGATACTCAAAAGAATAATCGCATTTCCTCTCATCAACTCAGTGATCCACATAACAAGTATGTGAGGTTCTAGAACTGAGGCACAGAGGGTTTTATGATTTGTAAGTTGACCTGGTAGGGTCAGGCTTAAACTCAGCCTTTTGTTTTCGGAAGGGAAAAAGTGGTGACAACACTATGTCTTTTATAATACTCCAATAATTAATATAGAAAAATTGGGTTAGGTCCTTTTTGAGATGCATTTTCCCATAACAGGATTGATTTATTTTCCTCTCCCAAGTCTTACCCTGAGTACACTCCAGCAACCCATTCTTTAGGTCCTGCTTCCTCAGGAACTTTACATGAGATAGTCTCTTTGAGAAGTGTGTCTTAATTACACAGTCTCCTTATTTATGCCTCGAGTCTTGGTGCTGGTTTTGATTTTGCTCTAGGCCTTGAGGTCTAGCTGTGCCATCATCAATAGCTTCCTTCTGAGCCCTGACCCTTCACATGGTCGCTGAGATCCACCAACTTTCCCATACACTAAGGACTAGTATTTTCTGGGACACAACAGCACGCAAGACTTTGAAACCATGGCTTTATCAAGAGCTTATGTGCAGGTGTTTGGCCTGACTTTGGACTATTTGACTGTCTTTCAATGTTGTTCTCCAGCCGGGCTGGAGACCTCAGTCCCCAGCTCCTGATCCCTTCTTAACTTTGGCCTGCTCAATACCAAAATTTCAACTTATTGCCAGAGTTCATTGCTGCACCTGGCATTTCACTTTGGATTTACCTTATGTAGAAGTGTGGCTGCCAGGTAACTATGTATTCTATAACTAGCAGAAGATTCTATGATTTTCTATAAAAATTGGATCTAAATAGGTATTATTATAGAATTCATCATTTAGAATTTGTTTTCTAGAATATAAAAGTTGCTATTGCTACTGTATTATATAAATAATATATAGTTTTCTATAGAAATTGGCTTTACATGATTCCTGCATGCTGACATTTGTTCCAAGTGAAAAGTAAGCAAAAATAAATCTGGGGCTTGTGTTGTCCAATGTGGTAGACACATGTGGCTTTAAGCCATACCATATGGCCAGCCCTAATTGACATGTTCTCCAATGCACATCTGATTTCAAAGGCAATATAAAATATGGAAAATATAACCTTCGTAATTTTGACATTAGTTATATGTTGAAATAAGAGTATCTTATATATTTTGATCTAAATATAATTTTTATAAAAATTAATTTCTATTTTTTTTTACTTTTTTAATGTGGAAAACAAAAAGATCTCAAATTACATATGTGGCTTGCATGATTTTCTATCGGACCACACTGCTACACAGGATATGTCTTGTAGCTCTTTAGTATGAGCAAACTACCTACCTATAGATGAAATGGAAAGTTAGTTCGGAATTCAAAAGCAGAAAAGGTTATAAATGGCAGAAGAAACCTTCTGCCTTGATTTTAAAATTCATGTTCCTTGTACACACTGACATGCTACTTGCCTTGACAAGCTTTGAAGACCTGGTAATCTCATGAGAAATGAGGCTGAACCAAATGGCATTTGTCCACAGCTCCCCGGATAGTGCCTAACCTCAGAGGTTTAAAATCAATATCGATTTTTGTCATTTATTTTACCCCACGTTTAAATATTCCTTAGATTTATTACCTTTAGGTTTTTGGTTAAGATTCAGTGATGGGTTTGATAGCAAGGGTGGTAATAAGTTATGTAGATATCATTTAATTTATGAACTCTGGAGCTCCAGGGTAGCTTTCCGTTCAAGAAATATATTAACCACATGCATATCACCCTTCATTCTGCGGTGAGCATTTCCAAGCTGGGTCCCTATGGTGCCACTTAATTTATGGTCTGGCCAGGTATGTGGATCTCCATACAATATTTCAATATAAGTTGCTCCAGCTAACTGGGGGGACGAAGACGGGCTTCAAAACATTAGTTGGATAGCTGATGGATTGCTCTCCCATACATTGGCCGCAGCATTAAGTAGCTTTTAAAGCTTGTCAGCAGTTTGTATCTTTTTCTGCTCTGAGAAGCTGCGCACACCGGCCTAGCCAAGCACAATCAGCCATGCTGCAGCAGGCAGAGGGCGGCTCCCAGAATTACTTACGTTGACAGCCGTAGTGCCAGGAATTTCCCGGCAGACACTCATCACACTTAGGCCCTGTTGTTCCAGTCTTACACTCACAAAATCCTGAGCCATTACAACGATCATGGATTGAGCCCAAAGGGTTACAATAACACTCTGTAGAAACAAGACAACACACAGGCTGGAGACAAGTCTGCATGGCTTACAGGTTATCAACACAGGAGCGTCACTTAAATGCATCACTTACTTAAAGAAAGATGTCCATTAATGAAATGCTTCGGCAAATATGGCTATTTCAGGGCCATTTATTTATTTGCTTAGCCTTCCATGATATCATTTTTATGGTATGGGAGGAAATCAACTGAAAACTTCCAAGAAAATAAGACATGCTTTTCACTGATAACAGATCGTGATGGAGATTCCATTTGTTAGGGTATTTTTAGATGGTTTAATGAATACCATGAGAAGTTTGTATATCCAGGATAAATCAATATGCCATCAGTATAAAATGTGTTTTAAATTATTCAAATGGGCTTAGCCATTGCACTCAATACTTGAGAACTGCTGAACATTTTAAAACGACAATATGAATGCACTTTGCTCATTCAAAGGTCGTTTTACTTTATGATTTGGGACACTGCCTTAACTTATTCATGTATATACCATTTTGTGATGAGCCTTTAGATGTTGTATTTCCTAGGCATATTAATGCAGCTTTTATGCAGCCTAGATTAACAGTCATGAAGGAAAAATAAACTTTGTAATCTGGAATAAATTTCAACGTAGTTATAATTTAAGAGGTATATTTTTCTTGATAATGTCTGCTGGCAGGACAATATGGCTTTGCACAATAAAAGGTAAACAGAGTGTTTTCTTGATTCCTGACACATTCTTATATAGAATATTTTTACTTCTGAAGCTCTATTTTGCTTTAAACTTGAAGGAGAAATGAATATTCTTTAGGCTTCTTCTATTAGCTGGAAAGGTAGTGGAAGTAGCTTGCAGCTTTGGGGTACTGTGGGCCAAAGTTCCGTTCCTCATTACTCTTTTAATAATTTTGGGGAAGTTATTGTATCTCTCAGTTTCCATTATTTAAAAATGCATATATTAGCAGTTCCCTTACTAAAAACTAAACAAAACTATACCATCCAAGTAACCAAGAGAGGTCTTGAAAACTTGGTTTAATATAGTAAAACTGAGCATCTTAGATTTGCTATGGGGATTTAGGGCTTAACATTATAGTTGGATCCAGGGGTTTGACTCTAAATTTGTATCTCAGAGGCTAATTAGATAATTTCTTCAAGTAAATGTGGAGTACCTTAGAAGTATGATTTATTTTATGCTAATTAAGTCAGGTTTTGAGTTCAGCATTCTTATAAACATTTATACGACGAATAGTTATATATGTAGGTAAAAATAAAACTTAATAAACTCTAAAATGCTCCCTTCTTGCCTGACTTAGTTTGTACTTAACAACTAGGGTTTTATTTTAAATTAACATTTCCTATTTTAATATGCGTGTATATATGGAACCTGATCAAAAATATTTTAAAATAGTAATTTTGTGAAAGCTTTTAATGTTTGTCTGTACATAGGACAAACTATAAATTTGTACCTATACCAAAACTGTAATTTTTTAAAACTGTTGAAAGTGAGTAAGTTGACAATGAATCACCAGCATATTGTAAGCCAGTAAGCAGAGTTACAACTGGCCAACGTGAATTCACACACTTCTCTAGTCAATTAGTCCATGACCATTAATGAATATAAGGTTTTAGAGGCAAAATAACAAAATGTGAACAAAATTAAACCAAACAGTAGAATAGTTAAACCATAATATATCCCAGTCATTGTCATAGAAGATGGTAGTTAAGTGTAATGTTATGCGGTCATGAAAATAAAGGACAAGATGAGTGTGACCTTCCCTTCACCTTATATAACAAATAATTCCGTTTTTAAAAAATATATTTTATGGAGTTATGGTCAGTGGTGGATGTTGGGATAATGGGAATATCCTTGGAAGATCATATTTTATCCCATGAAATCAGGAAGAACATGCAGGACTGTTAGATTACAAAGCAACATAAAATACTTTGGGGGGCTTGATTTAAAAGTTATACTAGAATTGATTTGTAGGTGTTAAAAGTGCCTTATGTTTGCTTTATTCTATTTAAGGTACCTCTGATTACTCAATCAAAGGTTTCAAGGGGAATTAAAAATAATACAACATAATTCTGAGACATGCTTAGCAGGAGCTGCTGAATGTTGTTTCACTCTGATGCAAAGCTTGTTAGCAGGATTATTAACAGTGATTACTCAAGGTCACAAACCACAGATCCTCTAGCTTCCTGCTTAATGCTCAAGTTGACATGAAACAGAAGCATGCAAGGATGCCATCTTCATGTAGTTGCTGCATCATCACAGAGTAATTACATGTGTCTTTGGAGACATGGCTGTGTTTGGAATTTGTATGAAAAACGGGCAAATTCACCAGTAATCATGAAGCAGCAATCGCTGTGGCAACATGAAATAGCCAGCTGCATTTTGTATTTGCCATAATATAAAATGATGCAAGTATTTTCAAACATTTGTTTCATCACAGAGCCTACATTTTGTTAAAGGTAGGAGTGGTTCCTTTACAGTCAGGGTGGTGAATTTTATTGTCAATTGTTAAAAAATTGGCAAAGTGCTTTTTTATTTTTAATGTAGACAAGACTTAGATGAAGTTCAAAGTCTCCAATTTTAGTGCCTTATTCTGTGAAGTGAATTGGGTAAATATCCCTTCATTTTCATTAGTGCTTTCTATACAAAATGGTATTAAAATTAACTTTCAACTACTTGTGAGGTATCCTTTTGAATTTAATACTCAGTTCTGCCTCAAGCCCTTTAAGAAGCTTAAATGTGGACAATAGTGGATAGGTTCATGCTGTCTTATACAGCAAACCTTAGCAATGGAGCCACAGCTTCCAATGGTCCTCAGAGGCCAAACTCCAGCCTTAGCCTTGTGCACAGGCAGTCCCAATATCACTGCCCTCAGCACCTTAAGCAGGATAAGTGAAATCTCCAGCTTTTAAGGAAATTGTTATTAATTCACTGTATGCATGTAAGCACTACAGATAAAAGATAGACTGTACTACCTATCAGCTAGCCAAATTTTTCAATTCATTAAAAAAAAACCACTTTTCTCCTTTAGGAAAAGGGTAATAATTTAAGAAATTAGGGTAGGTGAGGGAAAAATGTAGCTAATTTTACTTTTATCTTATCTTATTTTTTTGAGATGGAGTCTCACTCTGTAGCCCAGGCTGGAGTGGAGTGGTGATATTATCAGCTCACTGCAACCTCCATCTCTTGGGCTCAGGTGAGTCTCCTGCCTCAGCCTTCTGAGTAGCTGGGATTACAGGCATAGGCCACCACCCTTGGCTAACTTTTTATTTTTTTATTTTTTTCAGTAAAGGCAAGGTTTCACCATGTTGGCCAGGCTGGTCTTGAACTCTTGATCTTAAGTGATCCATGCACCTGGGCCTTCTAAAGTGCTGGGATGATAGGCATCAGCCACCATACCTGGCCTAATGTAGCTGACTTTAATAGTACCTAAGAATGCACCTCTTTGTGCTTACTAAGTACTTTACATGGGTTCAAGTATAAAATAGAAACAGGATTACCTCAATAAAATGGAATTTTCCAAAAGTTTATAATTTTTATTAGTAAATTTTCTAGAAAGGGAGAAAAAAACTCTTCTTAATTTTTAAAAGTAAAAATAAATACAAAACTGGTATTGTTTTTCTTATTTCTTCTGTAGTTTATGTGATTTAAAGGACAGACATTGAATAGACTGTTTTCTAGTCTGTGGATAATCAAAGATGGATTTACAACTGAACTCGACCTGTTAAAACTGGATAGAAAGAAGCAGATTTGGAGTTCATAGTTTACTTTGGAACTGGAAGAAAGGGCAAATTTCAGAATAATAGAATACTCTGAATAAAACATATTGTGATATTATTAAGCTACCTGATAGAAGAAATTTTATGGAATAAAATCTTTCATTTTAAGGCCTTTTTAAAGATTGATTTAAAATAATATTAAATATTATAAAACATTTTAATTTTATGTATTTTGTAAAAATGATTAGGTTTTTTCCAGTGTTCTTATTTATTTTAGCTTTTCTGTTGTTTACCTACCTATAGCATGACATTTATATATTTTTACAAATGACATTCAGTAAAATATACTCTGCATTCAAAATTCAGATGACTACCTGTCTTTTGGGTTTCATTAATATCCTCAAATCTTTGTAACTCAAGTGTTATGATGACAATTGAACTTTTGTTCATAAAGCTAGAGTGGAATTGCTGCTGTCATCCCAAAGGCATACCATGAGTAAAAGTCTGATGAGCTTAGCTTTGCTCATTGTGTCAGTGGTTGAGAGAAAGTGTTTAAGATTTGAGGTCTAAAACCCTTTGCTGTAAGATTGGGGTCAATCTGCCTTACTTTCTCAAGGACAAGATACGGGAAATAATCAGTGTAATACTTACCTTACTGTTTTGTTAATGAGGATGAAATAAACACTAAACAAGACATCTGCAAGCCAGTTCACAGTTGACCAAGTGTTTTCTGCGCATTGTATCTGGTCCTCATCTGATTTAGAAGGCTCAAATGACTTACCTATGATACACAGCTATGAGATAGCAAACTGAAATTTGAGCCTAGCTTTCTGGCCTCTAAGTCCAGTACTTTCTCTCCTAATTGACAAATAATAAATAAAAAGATGCTTTGAAAAATAGAAAGTACTGTAGAAATAAACAGTATTATACATACTTGGTCCAATTTAATTAAAAAACAACTGTACAGCTATTTTTGGTGACACGTGGATCTTGACAATCCAATCAGAGGACAATGATCCCAGAAATACGAATTGGATTTCTTTTCTTGATAAAAAGATTGCTTGTCACTTTTCAGCTTGTGTATCCTATTGAATGTATCTCAGTGTGAAAAAGTCTACCTTTAAAATTGGGCGCCTATATAGCTACCTACTGTTGTAAGGGCTACACATACATTTTTCAGCATTTCAAATATATGCATTGCTTCAGCATGAATTATGAAGTGAAATTCCATTTACTGTTTCTTATTTTTCCCTTGGCACCTCCACATTCTTAAAGACAGGTGTCCCTATGCAAAAGGCAGGAGATTTTATGGGTGGAAAAGGCACCTGTTTCTCCCTAGGTGCTAAGAGCAGTAGCCATTGGTGGCGAGAGAAGGGAAGGTGCTCAGGGGGCTCTGTGGACTGTTTTCCAGGGCTAAGAAAATTAATTGACTAGAATACTTTTGAGATATTACTTCTCCTTTTGGGAGCTGTAGGAAAATTTAATACATGGAATTTCATTGCTATGGATGAAGAAGTCAGACAAACTTTTACATTTCCGGTTGCTAATTGTTTTCAATTTCAAATAGCAACATTTCTAATCTATCAATACTCGTTGATGACCAATTATATGCAAGAGTCTGTACCCCCATTTTTGATATCTATAATTAAATCCCGTATAATAAGTTTCTGTTTTGAAAGTTGAATGTATAATTTAACGCTATAAGATCAGTTCAGAATCATCAGGTTTTAAAATTTCATATAAAAACAAAAATGAGAAGAAAGAAAATTCTTAATTTCTTTAACATGATTTCTGAGATCATCATATTTAAAGCATCAACATAACGGCTCAAAGTATATCCCCCAACTATAATCTCAACCAGTACAAGTGAATTTTAAGTCTACCACGGGATATTTGCTCCATTGAGAAAGTTCATTCTGTCTCAACCATGGTGCAAATCACCAGCCTCTCCACTCTAAATAGCTCCCCACAGCTCAAAAGGCACAGAACAATAGCTGAAATTGTAATGGAACTGACCTATGCACACATTCTCATCGTCCAGTTGTGCAGAAGCATTTCTGAAGTAGCCCAGCCTGCATAACTCACAGTGCTGCCCTCTAGTGTTGTGTTTACAGCTCACGCAAATGACTGTATTTAGCAGATCGATATAACTGCATCGATTGGAGTGGCCGAAGCATTCACAATCTTGCAAGGAAGAACAGAAATGTATACAAAGTGTATACAGTAGCAGAGTAATAGCATACTACATGCTTAGATAAAATGAGGGATGGAGAAAAGACAGTGGAATGGCATTACATATATGTGGTTCAACATGACACATGGTGACAACAGGTGGTTGTGACTAGCATGGAAATGGCATCTGTTTCAAGCAGGATAGAAAGGTCGAACATTCAGAACAGGACTGAAGATTGTTAATTCTTGGCAGACAAGATGAACAGAAGCATTTGCAGGTGTGCACCTTTTAAAATTTGGGAAGCCTCAGTTTCCAGTGATGCAAAAGTCTATTTTTTGCAGACAGAGAATTTTACTGTCTTTGCACTATTTCCCTCGTTTTCTCTTCATCTTTTCAGCCTTAAAAAATTGCGAGGGGTGTGTGTGAGCACTGAGGGTCTGAGTCCGATCACCATGGCTCCTTCTGCTCTCTGACATCATGCCAAGACAGCAACTCAATCGGGGTTTCATACACATCATGGCAAATTTAACAGAGATCTAGACAATGAAACAATTCTTTGTTTTTGTTTTTCTCTGATGCTAAGAGGAGAAGATAGCTTTCTTAAGCCTTTCTTCAGATCAAATCTGTATGTGTATGTGTGAGAGAAGACATACAAGCAGGGAGATCATCTGTGTGAAAAAGTGCTCTTAAGATTTCCTCCTTTCCTTCTAAGTTTCAAGAACAGTTTGCTACAAAAGAAGAATTAGGCAGCTACTGTAACCCCACATTTCTTTTCCTTGGTCTCTCTAAAATGTTAGAACTGCCCCTGAGGCTTAGGAGTGATGGTGGTAACGACTAGACCAGACCGGGAGATGAAGAAGGAGATGAGAGTAGTTGGGGAAGGTTGGAGGGTGACTAGATTTCTTCTTTCTTGCCTCTCAACTAGAGCAGGAAGTTGTAAATCCAATTCAACCTTTTTAAAAGAAATGGTAACGACAAAGTCTCTGTTGATAGAAATAATTACTACAAAAGTGTGAGTGGTAACTAGGTGGAGTATCTATTCTGTCTTCTTGGAATATGAGGGTAAATCTAGCTGGACATTTATAAGAAAGGTCAACCAGGATATTACTCATTTTGTTTGTTTAAAAATATTTCTTGCATCAATATCTTGCTTTTATTTTATTCCACTAGGAAGCCAAGCACAGTCACTATTTGAACTCGTTCATTCATTCATCCATTCATTCATTCAATAAATATTTTCACTGAATTTGTCTATCTATGTGTCAGGAACTTGGCTAGGTATTGAGTTACTATTTTGGCCCATACAAAATTTTGCAAATATTATATGTTGATGACCAGAGTAAAAATGAGTAAGTGTTGTCAAGTAAATAATAGTAAGAGATAGCTAACTTTTAAAACTTAAAAAAAAAATCCATACACTATCACTCATCAGAAAAGTTCATATTCATTTGTTAGAAGGCTAGTTCCTACAGAAGAAAGCTGAGATCGAGGTCCCGATGGAATGAAATTAGATTGGATAGAAGCAGAGGAGGACACTGAGAATGGTGAAGAGTAGAAGATACCAGAAACAGTGTCAGCAACTTTGGGACCCCAGTGGCTAAAAGAGAGGCAAGAAAAAAGGGCGGATCCTGAAGCCAAGTCACTCCCTTTATCTGAGGTCAGCGGTATCACCATGTGCATGTGCACAGGGAGCGAAGGTTGAGTGTGAGGACAGGAGGAAGTCAGAGCGGAGGTGAGTCTCAGGGTAGGGAGAGTCCTGGGAGAAGGTGGCCTTGATACTCCAATGTAGGAGACAGAGTAAGAAAATACCCAAATAAATTTAGTAGTAGAGGCATGCCAAGTTAACAGTAATACTCCAATAATCATAGAGTTACAGATTAGTAAGCTAAAATCTCTTGGAAAACAACAAGCATCTCCCACCAATCTACTGCACCTCTCTGAGTTACACCTTGTTTATACTGGCATTACTGACTGCCAAAGAAATCAGAAAGGCTTCTAGAGCCTTCTCTGTTTGAGAGTTTGAAATAAAGACAATCTTTCAGCACTAGAGCCTTTTGAGAGCAGTGGTTGAAGGAAGGAAACCCAATTATCAAACCTAATTGCTTCCCAAGGACTTTCTGAGAACTGCCTGGCATTCCTGAGGAGGGGCAACAACAGCCCTGCCCCTGGGTCCCTTCCTCTGGAAGAGGTCTCTTATTGGCTGTCCTTTTTCAGGTTCTCCAACGCTGGTGGGCTCCTGGTACATCTAATTTAATTAACAGAGCTTTGTTCGAAAGTATCTTTTTATGTGCAAATTCATTCTAGGAGCTTTCTACAGCTACACAGAAGTTGTTGCCTGGAAGCTTGTTTAGTAAATAAGACAACATATGCTCAGATAACCAGAAAGAAAATAGTGTGTGCTAAGAAAAAATAGTGACACAAAGCAATCTAAGTAGAAGGAAAACTTCATTTACCATGAGGGGATTAGAAAAAACGTACTACAGGACTTGCACTCTGAATCTTCCTTAGGACAGGTAGAGTTTATTAAAGCAAAACAAAATAAGAGGGAATGAGCATTTTAGGTGAAAGGAATAGAGGGAAGAGTGGGCAAAGTTATGAAGTTGGGGAAATGTAGAGAATAAGGCTAGTGACTTTTCACGGCATAGTTTCTTTGTGGGTCCTAAAGGATTCTGTAGATTCTGCCCCATGGCCAGAACTACGTGCTTACCTCCACCTGACAAAGCTTTATCTGAGGAACAAACCAAATCTGTAAGATACCCAAGTTCAACACTTTAAGGCCCATTCCACGAATCTCCATAGAAATGTTAAATATGATATTATCACTACTATTATCTGAATTTAATGAACAGTATACATTTCTGTGGTGACATTAACTATTTATGGGTCTTGCTTAAAAATCAATGTATTAATTTGATAGGAAAAGTTAATTATATAAGAAACCATACTCAGCTAAACACACAATAGTATAAATTTATTTCAAATGATAACTGGACAATTGAAATGTTTTACAAGCATTAATGTTTTATAATCTAGAAAATGGGCTAACAATAACTTGATTCTTTTAAGACTTCTAGTACTCTTCTGATGACAACATGATCATATACCTAGATAACCCTAAAGATTCCCATAGGAGAATCCTAGACTGATTGCCAACATCAAGTCTCAGGATATAAAATCAGTGTACAAAAATCTGTAGCATTTCTATACACCAATAATATTCAAGCTGCAAACTATATTAAAAACTCAATCCCATTTACATAGCCACAAAAATAAAATAAAATACCTATGAATACAGCTAACTGAGGAGGTAAAAGATCTTTACAAGGAGAATTACAAAACACTGATGGGATAAATTGTAGACAACACAAATAAATAAAAAAAATCCCATGCTCATGGTTTGAAAGAATTAATATTGTTAAAAATCACCCATTACCTGTAGCAAATTACAGATTCAATGCAATTCTTATCAAATTACCAATGTAATTCTTCACAGAATCTGAAAAACCAACCCTAAAGTTCATCTGAATCCCCCTCCTCCCAAAAAAAGCCCAAATAGCCAAAGCATTTCTAAGCAAAAGAACAAATCCAGAGGTGTCACATTGCCTGACTTCAAATTATACTACAAGTTTATAGTAACTAAAACATCATGGTATGGGTACAAGAATAGACAAATAGATTAATGGAACAGAATAGAGAACCCAACAACAAAGCCACATACCTACAACCACCTGACCTTCTATAAAGTGGACAAAACTAAACAATGGCAAAAATAAACACTCTATTCAATTAACAGTGCTGAGAAACTGGCTAGCAATATACAGAAGAATGAAACGGAACCTGTATCTTACCCTATACAAATATTAGCTCAAGATGGATTAAGGACCTAATTATAAGACCTGAAACCATAAAAATCCTGGAAAAAAACACATAGGAAAAACTCTTCTGCACATCAGCCTAGGCAAAGAATTGATAACAAAGACTCAAAAAGCAAATACAACAAAAACAAAAATAAAATTTAAAAATGGGACTTAAACTAAAAAGCTTCTGCACAGCAAAATAAATACCAGAACAAACAAAACCTACAGAATGGGAGAAATATTTAGAAATTATGCCTCTAAAGACTTAATATTTAAAATCTACAAGGAATGAACAACTCAACAGGGAATAAAACAAACAACAACATTAAAAACCTGGGTAAAGGACATGCACAGACATTTCTCAAAAGAAAACATACAAGTAGCCAAGAAACACATGAAAAAATGCTCAACATCACTAATCACCAGAGAAATATAAATTAAAATCACACTGAGGTGCCATCTTACACTAGTCAAAATGACTAATAAAAAGTCAAAAAGCAACAGATATTGGCATGGATGTAGAGAAAAGGGAATACTCATATGCTGTTGGTGGGAATGTAAATAAGATCAAACTCCATGGAAAACAGTATGGAGATATCTCAAAAATCTAAAAATAGAATTACCATATGACCCAGCAATTCTACTACAGGGTATCTACCCAAAGGAACATACATCATTAAAAAGACAACTACAGTCCTATGTTTATTGCAGTACTGTTTACCATAGCAAAGTCATGAACATACCCTAAGTGTCCATCAATGGTTGGTTGATTAAAGAAAATGTGTATATACCCCACGGAACACTATGTAGACATAAGAAAGAATTAATGATGTCATTTGCAGCACCATGGATGGAGCTGCAGGTCATTATCCTAAGTGAACTAACAGAGAAACAGAAAATCAAATATTGCATGTTCTTATATATAAGTAGGGGTTAAAGGGTACACATAGACATAGAGATAGAGAACTAGACTCTGAGCACTCCAAAATGGGACATTTAAGAATTGAAAAATTACTACTGGGTCCAATGTCTAATATTTGGGTGATGAGTCTACTAGAAGCCCAATCCCCCACCATTATGCATGTAATACCCATGTAACACACAAGCACATGTACCCCTGAGTTGAAATTTTTTTAAAAAAATTTAACTTTTCATCTCTTCATGCTCATATCCCCATAGATAAATGTGGTTAGTTTTTCTCCAACCATTTAGAGACAAGTCTCATTTGAAGTTCATGACCATAAGCCTCAGTGGGGTCCTTAGAGCTGCCTGGTAAACCTTCCTGAAGCAGGGGGCTTCTGGGCCCTCACACTCTCTTAGTTATCCTCCTTCCCTACCCATCATTGCTTTTTTCTCTATTTTTTTTTTGTCCTCATCTCCTCAAATGTTTCAAGCTTTAATCATTGGACCTCTTTGTTCCCTACATTCACACTAGACGTTTTTTACCCAACTCCATGGTCTATATGTGGGGCATTCCAAAATAGTTATTTCCAGGGTGGACTAACACCTCTGTTAATTAGTGAGACTCCCTTCAGAGTCATTCATTGTATGCCACTGTCTTCCCAGAATTTCCACTTGGATGTTTTATAAACATCTCAACTTTAACTTGTTCAAAGCTGAGCTCTTGGTTTGCCTTCCTAAACTTGCTACTCATCCAGACTCCTCTATCTCAGTAAATGACCACTCCATTCCTCCAACCGCTTAGATTACACCTCTCACCATCTCTACCACCTCTTCCTTAGATATATCATCAGCGCATACTTGGATTATTGCCATTGTGCCCAAACTGCTTTTCTGGCCTCAACCCTTGTGATAATGTCATCTCCACATAGCAGACAGAGTGACTCTTTCAAAACTTAAGTGAGGTCATGGCGTCCCTCTGCTCATTATCCTAATGGCTTTACATCTTATTCAGAACAAGAGTTCATTCATTCATTCTTTAGTGACCTGGCCCCTGGTCTTCCTGGGGGAGCTCATTGCTAGTACACTTCTCATAATTCATGGCACGGTGCCTTCCTGTTGCTCTTCAAACATGCCAAGCACTTCCCAGGCCCTATGCACTTGCTGGTCTGGAATACCCTCAGACATCTCCATTACTTGCTTCCCCACTTCTTTTTCAAATATCTTCTCAAAGAAAGTTATCTGACCATTTAATCTGAAATAATAGCCCCACCCACATACCCTAATCCCTCAATTTCCTAATCTTGTTTATATTTTTTTATAGAATTTATAATATTCAAAAAGTATATGCAAAAATAATTTCTTCCCCTCTAGTTGGGTATAAATATTTTAAGGGCAGATTGTGTCTGTTATGTGCACAATTGTAATTACAGAACTTAAAATATTGCCTGGCATTACTAAGCACTGAGAAAAATATTGTCAAATGAATGAATGAATGAATGATGATCCTGAGGCCCCTTCCTTTGGGGAACAGAGGAAGACACAGAGAAAAGTTATGTTTAAATTCATTCCTTCATCATTCAAATTCCTGAAGAGAATCTGACTATATCCTATATATTAAAGAGTTTAGAAAAACAGTAGCCTCTGTAGGTTACTGCTGTAGCTGAGTTAGTGATTATTTTAGCTGAGAGTTCACCATATGTCTATGAACAGATCAGTTTAGGCAGCGAAAAAGCAGGTTTCTGAAAATTGCTGTGGTTTTATATGGTTTTTCATCTCAAATTGCATTTCAGACAAGTTTCATTATTGTTGCAAGCAAAGCTGAAAGGGGTCTTTAGCTTTATGTCTACACAATGTGGCACAACAAACATTGGCAACACATATTTATTGAGAACTACCCTGTACCACGTACAGCCATCACGTGCCAGGAGACAAAGGGAATGAAGTCCAGGCCTCCAGAGTCTAGTGCGGGCTTTTACAAGCTTGGCACTATTGCCATTTTGGGCCAAACAACTCTTTGTTGTATGGGACTGTCCTGTGTATTGCAGGCTTTTCAAATGCATCCATGGGCCCTTTACAGACTCGATGACTAAATGTGGTAGCAACCCCCAAACTGTGACAACCAGAAATGTCTCCAGACATTGCCAAATGTCCCCTGGAGGGCAAAGGCCACCTATATCCCCACTGAGTACTATTGTTCTGGGGGGAAGATAGAAAAAATACTATATACATGTAATATATGAGATATATTGTAACATAGAAGGCAGTTTTGATAATCAAGTACTTAGTACCTAGCCAGTGAAGAGCAATAAAGGCTAGAGGTGTTTTACAAGGGGAAGGGTTCAAAGTTGACTTTGTAGATAAGAAAAGGACCGAGTCTCCTCTAAGGTTTAAAAGGTTTCTTCTGACTGACACTGGCTGGGAAAGACCTGGGCAGATGAGAGTTCCAGGAAATCGAGAGGTTAGATACAGACAATGAAAGAAAAGAATGTTACTAAACGAGGAGGGGATTCAATTAATCTTTTGCATCTTCTTTCTTACTGTTCCCCGTGGTGCCTAGGTTATATTAGTAAATTACCTCTGTAAATACACTGAATATGGCACAGTTAGAACAGGTAGCTTTTTAAAATTTTTGGCCAAATAAGGAAAGCTAATTCAAATCCAGAGCTGATTAAAATTCACTTTAGACATCCAAAAAGAAAGAATTTGAGAAAAAGGCTTTAACTTAAAGGTGAAGGAATGGGAACTCTAAAAAGAATCTTCCCTTCACTGCATTACGTGGAGTGATTCTGGGAATTAAGAAGCTCTAGCTTTTTCTTTGCCTTTTCTGCAGCCACAACCCTGTCTTGCACCCTTACATAGCTGTTGAAGCTCTTCCACACATGTCATTTGATGATGATGTGAATTTGTCTATAGTAAGTCTACTTCGTTGGGTAGCTTTCCCCTGCCTCCAGGGTTGTGTCTGGACCTCATTGGTGCTGTGACCTCAAGAAGCTAGAGTTGCAGGGTCAGATTTCAGGTTCAGAGGCCTCTGGTGTATCCAGCACACTTGATATGACAGAAAAGAGATGAACTCTGTACATGCTTTTTCCTTCCTTTCCCCTTCACCTCCGTGGTTTCCTGCCATATGGCATCCTTATGGTGGCTTCGCTGACTGCCTGCATGTCACACCACGTGCCTAGATGGGTTTGTTACCCTCTGAGCCCGCATCTGCTTTTCTCAAACAAGACTTATTTCCCCAAATTTCAAACCCAATTGGGTTCCCCTAAACCCAAATGGGCATCTTCTCCATTCCACGGTTGAAAGCACATTTGAGAAAATTTTGAGACACGGTTTAAATACTCTTGGCTTCTCTTCTCCCATTTTCTGACCAGCTTCCACTTTTTCTCTGTAGGTCACGGAAGGACCAATTCAACATTGATTAAAATCTGGGAAATGACTAAAATTCAATAAGGAATAGGAAAACATTATGGTCATTTTCACCAAATGGGTCAAACTAAGTTCAGATTTTATTAATAAATATATTTCTGTGTAAGAAGTGTTTTATGAAAAAACAAACAAAAAAAAAACAAAACCAGAAAGTGACATATGCCCAACAGTCAAGGGTAGAAAACAAGACACATCTGTTACACAGGACATTTAAAGAAAAAAAAATGGAGAAATAAAAACATAAGTCTTATGTTTCCTGAAAAATCTTCATTCTGTGAAAGACAGATGCTAGTTGGCATGGGCCATTCATGAGTCACAGATGAGCACTGCTCACTTTCATTTAAAGAAAGTAATGTAACTGTTATTTTTGGATCATAAGCAACACTTAATCCATTGCAGATTTCACTTGTGTTTTTCAAGTTATTCAAAACAATTTTTTGGAAGTATAAATTCCAAGGTGTTTCATCTGTCACCAAGTGAAATGGACACCATACATGGAACCTGCCATTCTGGTCTCATGAAAAGCACCCTTGGTTTCCTCATTTTCAATGCAAATGAGTATCCATGTTAGTGCTCTCACATTCATGGTCTAAACAGGTACCTCAATCATTTTCATTCTTATTCATAGTTTAATCTTTCAGAAAACAAATGTTGTAGCACTTTTAATTGGAGTCAAGTTTCTGAGTGAAGCATTTTTTTTTTCTTACAGATGATTCTCAGTACTATTCGATGCATTGATTGGTATCAGTCAACATGCCTCACCAATAAGCTGATGGGTACACTTCACAGATATTCCAGATTCATACAGTGCAAAGTTTCACAACACATAACACCATGAAATCACTGTATGAATCCAAGAATTCCTACCTCTCTTGTGGTTTGCAACTTGAACAGAAGAAACTGTTGACAAAGCTAATTTGGGAGCAACTGGATAGGTTTAAAAGAATGAACAATAAATTAGAAACAATAGTGAAATGTTCAAACTGTAATAACTTATCACCAACCCACTTGAAAAGTAGCCCTAAATTAAGAGATTATTTGTATCTCTTGTTTCTGGGAATTTGTTTCAATCACAAAGTAAGGCTTGCCTTTGGCTGAAAATGGTTCAACACTGTCAGTAATACGATTTTGAAGTTTTCTTTTCAGAGGCAAAAATGATTACCATTTAAATCGAGAATCCAGTGAGGCAAGGATCATTCCCATAACAATATGGATAGTAGGATCCCCTACTGTCAATTAAAAAAAAATAGTAATTGTGTTGTCAGTTGACATTATCATTGCCTCGGTTCACCATGACATTCGACGTCATCATAAAGTAGCCTACATATATACCATTTAGACTATTCTTGTGGAACTCATTAGATACCCTAGAACATAGTCAGTCCCAATAGTCAGCCATTCAGCAGCATTTGGGCCTAGGTCTCAGAGTCACCTTGAACATGTGTACCTTTGTGTCCCTTTAAAAGTTGTAGTCTTCTCAGCATTTATCACCTTTTTGATGATATCAGCTGGTTAATGGCAGGGTTTTCTCTCTATGTTTGCCTACCATTTCTTTTCCAATTATTCATAAAGAGTTGTTTGTGAAAATAGCCAAAACAGAATAGAGCCTGATGTTCTTTGCAGATGCGGACAAGATAAATTAGGGCTGCAGAGAACTCGCCTCTGCCACAAAGTGCACCTTTTGCTAAAATTTCAAAGTTTAAGCACTTTGTTCAACTAAGCTTCTTCTCAATCGATTCATTTGAACTCATTATCCACATTCTAAGAAAGTACAATTGGTATGACATAAAGATATTTCTGAAAGTGTTTTGTCCTGTGACACTCAAAGAAAACACAGCAAAATAATTAAATGGGCCTACTTCAGGTTTTGAACAATGCATAGTCTTGTTCAGCTCAAAGCTCACGGTGGAGAAGTGTTGTCTTAGAGCCTGTGTTGTATATAATCTGTGGACTATGAAATTCAATAGGAAATACTGAGTGACATTTCACTGAAGATGCTGTCATTGAACTTGCCAAGGAATAAAGCCACTAAACCTCTTCTGAATCCTCACAGAATTATACTAATAGGGGTGAGCTTGATCTGTAGTTCTTCTTTCATATATATATATGCAGAAACTTGAAAAAAATTCATTTGGAGCAGATGATTAAGATAATTCTATTTGCTGGTAATATATGTATCTAGGACAGTCTAGATTTCATCACGCTGATCAAGGACGATAAATGCAGCCCTTCCAATTTGACTCCTCAACAAATTGCTAATATATTTTGTTTTGCTTAGCAGCTATTTCCTGGTTCCTCCTTTTACTCGGTTCCTCTTCCATCTGTATTCATTACAGTTTAAAAGGAACATCCTTTATATAACTAAGAAAGATGGAAGCTAAAGATGTGCCTTTTTTTTTAATGAAAGAAGAAGGCAAAAGAATACAATCTTATATTAAAATAAATTCCTATTTATACATGATTATATATATCATAGGGCAGATGTTAATATGAATTTAACATTACACTGCAGCTTATGAAGTTTATTGCCCAGCTTTTAAAAGTTCTCTTTCTTCCTGCATAGTCACATTTCTGTCTATCAGTCTTGTTTTTTTTTTTTTTTTTCTTTTTCTTTTTCTTTTTTGACATTAGGAGTCAGAAAATAATTACTGCTTTAAGGACAGAGAACAGATTGCTCTAAGTGCTGGAACACATGCATGTTAATTGATAAAAAAGATAAAAGGAAAAGTTCCAACAAGGAAAATTTACTGTGATATGAAAGAGAGAGAGATACACACACACACAAACAGAGAGAGAGGGAGAGAGAGAGAGAGAGAGAGGAGGGAGGAAGTAGGGAGGGAGAGACAGACAGGGAACAAGAAAGAGTGTGTGAGAGAGGATCAAGGGAGGGTAGAAGAGAGGAATAGGAGGGAGGGAAAGAGACAGAGAGCTTGCTCCAAATCTTTGCCACTCAGTATGGAGCAATAGTCAGCGAAAACATGTCTTTCAGGTGTCACAATACTGCCTCTATGTATTTTCCCAGACCCTCAGTACAACTGAGGTACTAGTTGGTTGACTTAAAAGTAAGAGGAAGACAGTGAAAGGATGCCTGTGCCACGCACCCATTTTTAGGTCTTGTCTGTACTCCACGCTGTGGTGGCAGCAGAAGTCTAGATTTCTCTTGGGACTGACTAACCTTCAGTGTAATCTAGTAAAGACTAAAGTTAAAAAGCTTCCATGATATCTACTTTTCCCCTTCATCTTTCACTCTAATATTTTTGGGACACTCTTCATATTAGAAAAAAGATTGAATTATGATTCTTTCAAAGACATGGCATTCATGATAATGCTTTTATTTTGTGCTAAAAATGGCATATAGGTTTTTCCCCCAAACATGTGGGATTTTATATCAGTAGGAATTTTACATGCTCCTACCTTGTTTTGGGTTAGGAACCTCAAGGGAAGAAATATTCGGCCATATCCTATTAAACTTTGGAGGAGCTGCATGCATCAGGAAAAATCAGGGTATGTTATTTTCATCTATAATGTCATTTGGTTTAAACAGAAAATTATATGGACAAAGACATAAATCACACATCTGCTCTTTCACTTGGCTGTGCTGCGCTTAAACAAAACATGACTCCCACATCAAACAAGAGCAAGCAATTCATGATTCCCAAAACATTGAATGGACATTAAATATATAGCTACTTCCTCACTAAAGCTACACGTTTTCTTTTAAAATAAGGTAGAGTGTTCTTACACGCACACAAAAATACAAATAAGGACTTCAGCAATCCAAACCATTATGTAAAGCTGGTGCCTGAAACTAGGAAGATAACACTAAAGAAATAATTCCTCACTTGAGGATTCCATTCTCCTCAATTTATATTTACAGATATGAACTGGTTGCATTAGTCCTTCATGATCGATTCTTTGGGGTATGTTTTAAGTGTGAGCCATTATCTCGGAAAAGGAGCAGATATATTTCCTGTTTTTATATGTGTAATTTCTCAGAAAAGGAAAGAGGGATAACTGGTGGCTTTGGCTTATGGAGAAAAGTCCAAGATGCTTCCAATTGTATCTAAGGTTTGTATGTATGAGTATGTATATGTTTTCACGATGTCTTTACCTCAAAATATGTTTCTAGAGTTATTGGTTCCAATGCAGAAATAACTAAAAGCATTAATTAATTTAAGAATTTGTATTATTTATGTCTTGGTATTACTTGTGTCTCAGTTATGGAAGGCAGAACAGCCAGGCTAGTATTTAGTTTTTAAACTGTTTTTGTGAAGGTGCCTAGGGCATGACTATTACAGCAGCTATTTTTTCTTAAATTTTATTTATTTATTTATTTATTTATTTATTTATTTATTTATTTATAAAAGAGACAGGGTTTCACCATGTTGGCCAGGCTGGTCTTGAACTTCTGACCTTGTGATCCACTCGCCTTGGCCTCCCAAAGTGCTGGGATTATAGGTGTGCACCACTGCATCCGGCTAAAGCAGCTATTTTATGATTAAAATCTTTCCATCTATTGAGTCCAGTCTCAAAACCACCTGTCTTATGTTGTTCTTTGGTACCACCCAAGTCCATAAGGACGGCTCTTACCTCTAAACTCCTGTAACCTGTTACTTTCCGTGCTCCTGCTTTCTCACCGATATGTGGACAGGCATGAGTTTTAATATTGCTAGTTAAAATTTTATAGATCGATTTCTCATCTCTCTAATTGGATTGGATCTCTTTGAAGAAGGGCAAAGCCTTGCAGAGGGCTTCAGTAAATATCTGATAATTGAGAAATAGATATCAAGTGGCTAGGCTACTGTAAACAGGTATTATCATACTGCCTCCTCCATAATAGATTATCACGGGTTCTTCCAAGACAAGAGACCCGCACTTTAACTTTGCTTTTTAGATATTTGTTAGAAAAGCTGATCTGATAGAGCCAACAGAGCTGTTGCTCTGTTTCACGCTGTTCTCATACATATATCTACAAAGGCAAAGGAAATCTTGATGATATCTATGAACATTTATGAATAAAGAAAGAATGTAATAATTTTATGCATCTGTACTCAGGTGTTACTAAATAAATAAATATTTAGTGATAGGCAGGCAAAATATGCAAGTTACTGACCGAATGTTGCTTTTCATCTGAGCATTTTGATGATGGGTAGATACTGAATTAGTAGGACAAGCCTACTTCATCTGTGATGATCAGCTTTGAGAAACTAGTAAATTTGTGTTTCGAGGAAATTAATATTGTTTATATTCCCAGAAACTGTTTATTTAATATAGCTTTCAAAGTATCGGTGCTGTTTTACAGAAAATGTATTTATATTATTGCATCAGATTAAGACAATCTTAAGTTTGGTGAACTAGCTCTCTCCATCTTTTTCTGTACAGAGACAAATACAGGTAATAAGTGAGGATGATGTTTGCAAGCTTAATGTTAAGTATTTAGTGACTTGTTTGTCTTAATGAAATGCAAGTACTACAATAATTTATTATTTTGTTATTGAGCTTTGCCAAGAAATTTAAGATCATAACTTTATATTAAATCAATTTTAGAAATGAGTTCTGAAAAATAACACTATAAATTAAACTTTATTAAATATTTTAATACTTTAAATATTTGCCTGTGCCTGTATTTTAGTATAACTCCTTTCTTAGTGTTTTATGATTTTTTTTCCTCCAGAATGCCAAGATTCCAGATTATGAATCTTCTTATATGTATTTAAAAAATTAACATAGGTCAGTCTACTTTCAATTTGCTGAGACATCCTGACCTGTATGAAATTATCAAGATAGACACCTCACTTACAATCTGTTCCTATTGAGAGTATAATTTTCTTCTGTATTGTGTACCTAAAATATTTCCTGGGGTAGGGGAAGCCTTTCCTTTGTGTTTGCCTGGGAATATAATTAGAATTTTTTTTCAAATAATTTTCATTATGTACAATGCCCAACCTCCCTGAATTACTAAAACTCAGAACCATCATCAGGCATCATATGAAAGTCCTGATCAAATCGATATATATCTCCAGTGGGAGAACATTTTATGTGTTTTGCATTTTCCTTGGGAGGAAAAATGTTATCCTATAAAAATGAATATTGAAATCTGTGGCCTTTAAACTCCTACAGTATTTTACTGACTGCACATATATATTTTAATATTTGGCTTTTATGAGATTTTTTTAAAGATAATATTTCATCTTAATTTTTTTAATGTATTTTGTTTTATAATTATAATAACATGTAAGAAAATAACTTAAAATTAGCCAATTATTCTCTGAGTAATTTTACTTTTTATTCTAAGATCTTGGCCTGTAGTAAATGCTCAACAAATATTACTAACATTTAATTCCCAGAAGTAAATCAGGCATATTAGAGGCTGCTTTAATAGTATGATTGAGACTAATTCTATCTTATCACATCCAATTCCAATAAAAGTTTTTGAATAACATGAAGCTTCTGAGGATTCTTAGTGAAAAAAATTCTTAGTAATAGAAAAAAATTATAATACATCAACAATATTTGTATTGCTTCTTTATATGAACTGTTGTAGAATGTATTAATTTTTTTCACAAATCAACTAAGGAAAATCTTTGGGTCAATATGAGTGTCTCAGAGTGGTAGTTTGTTACAAGGCAAAGGGCACTGGGATTCAGAAGACGCGAGGTCTGATCCCTGTTCCACCACAGAGGAGCTACCTGGCTGTTAATTTCTCTGGATTTTACTTTCCTTATCTGTAAAACAAGAATGCTGGAGAAGAGACTTCTTAGATTTCTCTCAGCTGACATGTTCCATCACTCCAGCGGTTTTCTCATGGCCTGGCAGCATCATACTAAGGTTCATGGAAGGATGTTGCCTGTTGATATGAGGAATATGCCCTTTGGAGATTCTAGTGGATTAAGAATTCTTTGTATGATGAGAACATATCCCTACATACCTTGACTATGAACCTTTTGACTGTTAGCGAAACCCAAACTGAATTGAGAAATTATCTTAAGGGTGAGGGGAAGGATCACTACCTGCTTGTAAATGACAAATCATTGAGGAATAGCTTTTTATGGAAATTACTTCTTCTTAAGGATGCTGGTTCCATACCTTTGGGAAAATTGACAGAATTTGTCTTGAGGATATCCCAGATCAAGGCTCCAAAGACTATGTCTACATATTTAGTACAGGGACCAAAATCACTTATTCCACAACTGCCTCCTTTAAAAATAAAACAACTGAAATGTCTTTCAGTTGCTATCATTAGTCTGAATTTTCAGATTGTATCTGTGGGAAAGCCTAGAAAATAATCTATTTAGGGTAAATTTATTTAAGATATGGTGCTGTCAGTAAAGCTCAGTCTGGATTGGAAGCCCAGTTTTACCACTTGGACAAGTTCCTTAACTTCTTTGTGCCTAGCTTTTCTCATCTGCAAAACAGAATAATGACACGATCTGTTACTTGCTTATGTTAATTTTTTACATAACATAGGTTATGTGAATTATTATAATTTACATAACATAGGTTATGTAAATTACCTATGTTAATTTTTTAAATACTTGCTGTTGTCAAGACAGAAGGAGTTAATATTTGCTTGGCATCATAGTGGACCTTCAATAAATGTTAGTTCATTCTATTTGTGGTTGCTATTGTAAATACAAATCAGATTACTGTACTATAAACAATTGTTACTGACTCAAAGTAGGAAAAAATAATGTCTTCCCCTATTTTTTTCAATGTTAATTGTGCTTAAAGCAAGTGATTCTGATAAGTTGAAAGGATCTCTTAAGATACAGCTTACTTTAGAGAATAATCCAATTATAGGGCCTTTATCAAATACTATTATTCAGAAAGCAATACAAATTATTTTGTAACACTGTGTAAAAATATTTGATTTTTAACCTTTAAAAATAAGAAAATGGTAATTTCTAAATTTCTTTTGGTTTAGAAGTACGTCAGCTTAGAATATGAATCAAATAGGTAGTTTCTCCATTTTTTTAAAGAACTTACCTCCAAAACTGTTACATAACAATTTAGTTGTGGCACTTGAAATCAATTTTTATGAATGAGAAAACTTGAGAATTTGGTTATTAAAATGAGACTCTGGAAGGAAATATTTTCCTCTTCTGCACCCAAGGAAAGCTCTCTGCATTGTAAGTTGAAGAAAACTGTGATAGAATTGCTAAACCTGACTGTCTAGGACTGAGTCAAGCTACAAAGCAAGCTTGAAGCAGAAAGCTAAAGACAGTTTACTGACATCAAGAAAGCTCTGGGGGTAGAGTTGCTTTAGAATATTAAGTTGTCTTCTATCACACCTGCCATTTATGGAGCCGCTTTCAAGTCACTTAAAGGATGGCCTTTAAGTACATTGTAAAATGTAACTTTCCGATTAAGGAGAATGTTTTCTGATTTTCTCCTAGTATTTTCTACCACTTAATAGCTCGTATTTTTAGTTTAATTTATATAAATAAGGTGAATTCTAATGTCATGGTAGAATGAAAAAG